GCTTTAAGAGCCACTCCAGTATGTAGATTCATCTAAAGTACACGTTAAAAAAATGGAGCAAGTTATTTTATAGTTCTTAATTTGCTTGTTTATTTTAAATATGACTCAACAGATGATAAGTTAGAAAAGCTGTGGTATAACCCATTCTTTCAAGATGAACTGTGCAAAGCACTTGATCTGGTACATTTGCATTCAGAACTCAAAGACCATCGTCATGTTGCTCATAAATTTGATATTCCTGCGGATGTTCAAAAAAAGATAGCTGCCATCCGTAAAGTAAGTCCATCAGAGAACATGTTTGAGTACCTAAAGAGCACACGACCAGACCTTACTATCAAAGAATTTTGTGAGAAACTCAAGATGGCAGAGGCTATTAAACCTCTTAAAAGCATTCAATCTGCAATTGAAGGTTTGATACATTCAGCAGTGTTATAATTTTTTTTTAAATGACTGTACTTTCTAAACGCATTGCCCTTTGCATAGGGACTTGTAATGAGTCAAAATCTTGATGCAATGGGACACTTGCATGGCCATTTCAAGTGCATTGACATACCTGACATGGACATTTTATTGATACTTTATTGTAGGAAAAGTCTTACAAAATAAAGACCTTGTATCACAGTTAGCAGACAAGGACCTCACCCTGAAAAATAATCTTATCTTACAACTTGATGAAAACAAACAAACGTTTTGGCGAGGACTTGCAAAACAATTCAATATTCCTGAGAAAAAGTGTTCTACTTTTTTGAGAGACCCGGACTGCAACCTAACTCGCACGTTCTTCCTGATATTGAACACTCAATCACCTAAATTAAAAATATCAAAGTTAAAGACTTATCTTAAAGATCTTGAAGAAGGAAAGGAAATGTTGGAGGAACTAAGCAAGATATCAGGTAATTCACAAATCCCCGGGGGCTCCGGGGTATAAGTACCAGGGATGTTCGTTTGTGATCGGGAATCTTTTAGGGTGCCAATTCGGAATTTCTGGAAATTTGCATTTTCTGCAATCTCTTAGGGTGACAGAAAAGAACAGAAAGAGTGCATGGATATTGATTTTCCTCAAAGTTTATCATTGTACTGAATTAATTTAACAATATTCGTTGTGCAATCTCTCCTTTTTCAAGACTTCTGGGATCTTTTGTGGTCTTTTTGAAAATTTCTGACGACCAGTACTTTTACCCCGGAGTCCCCCCCCCTAAAGCTGTGAAACACATCTATCACATGTAGCTAACTTTTCAACTCATACAAGACTGTTGTTGTTCAACAGGTGAACGCGATTTAAAATGTCTAAATTCAGAAGCAGCTTTGATGTGCGATGTCATTGAACCTATGCTCAATTCACCACAGAGCAGACTTCTATATAAGCTGGCTGAAAAGTTCAAAAAAGATGGCTACCTTAGAGRCATTGATATTGATGAATTTGAAGCAACAGAAAGTTATGAAAGTGCAACTGCTAAATTGATGGRATACATACTCACCAGCMGAGAAGAAAKTTATAAAATAAGGGATCTGAAAGATTGCTTGGTTGAGATAGAACGCAATGACTGCTGTGACATCATAATGAAATACGTAGAAGGTACATGATGGTTTAAATATCACATCAAGATCAATTTCTAATGATCATCACAAAAGTTACCTGACTATAGGGGAGTTGCCTTAATTTTTTTTTCGGGGGGGGAGGGGGGGGGAGGCATCTTTAAATGTTGTATTGTTCAGTCTTTGTCTGTCCGAATGCAGGTCATATGAATATGTATTTCTTTGTTTAAGCGGGACTCTATCAAAGAGGTGTTGGCACTCTTGATTATTGACAAAAATTTCAAAACGAAAGYTAGAGGTTGCCGCTATTACTAGACTATATGGTCCATGTAAAATGCACAGGAAAAAAGCTATATAAGTGCACTATTTAAATCAGAAAATCGCGTTTTTAAATGGTCTATAGGCCATACAAAATTCCAGGAAAGAGCCATTTTAAGCGTCTTATAGGGGAAGCGATTTTGGGTTCGTAACTGGACAAAATTACTTTTGGAATTGTCCGTGTATTGCTGTGTATATATAGACAGAATCCCTGGGAACGAGGTTGCTTAGACAGGGTGGGTGTCATTGATGTACCACGAGGGTGATAGGCCGCCATATAAAGAGTCGCAACATGGCTAAAAATTTTATTAAGTTCACAAGTGAAGATGAGAAGGCTTTTTACACCGTTCAAGACAAATCGTCGGGAKATCCCAGATGTCTTGGCTACTGCTTTAAAATGATGAATTACAAAAATAACGATGCCGATCAAGTCTTTTGGGTTTCAACACCCGGTATATTTGGAGASGGCTCAAGCGATCTTTTCGCACGATGTTGCAAAGAGGATAAAGTTGAACATAAATTAAAGGGATCTAAAGTGTATTCAAAAGATGGCGTAAGTTTTATCAAGTCAAATTGCAAGAGTAATTTTTTAAAATTTGGCGTGAGAGAAAAAAAGAAAGAAACTTCCGCTTACGTCTTCGACGGCAAGAAACCTCTGGAGCTGAAGTTCCTTAAGACATCTGACAGTACCAATGATTACAAGCTGGATAGTTCTAAAAGTTCAAAAGCGAGCCCTAAATTCGATTTAAGCAAGGCAGTCGGTGCACCAGTTATCATACCTGTTGATAAGCCAGCAAGAAATCAAGTTGTTGGTCTACTAGATGTCAAAAGGGATAAAAGTCTATACCCTGTTTTCTTTAATTTGGACACTTTTGATTTGGGTAAATATATTAATTTTTGTTAACAAGTATTTCACAGATCAAATGAGCCCTCTTCAAAGATAAAAAAATGTTTAAAAGAATAGGGAGAAAACATGTCTACAGCATATATATCTAGACAGAATAAGTCTTCCGGTAGTTCCTTAAAGAACTCGAGGTCAACAGTCGGTAAAGCGATAGTACATCAAGCCGTAATTATACACACAATAATCATCAATGGGCTCTAAATCATTGTTTAATACTGTCTTGTTAGATAAGATCCCAACTGCAAGTCCAAGTAATGAAGGTAAGAAGACAATCAGAGGAGTCCTGTTCTTGCTGAAAGGAATTTCTATAACTTAATTCAGTTCTTTGTTCAGGGCAATAATAAGATGTGGGGATGCGGAACCGCATCCTGGAGTAAATTTCGCATTCTTAGCATTATATTTTCCGCGTAATATTGAAAATTTATATAAAATTTAAATTAATATCATATGTTACTGAGTGAAAACCTATAGTATTCCGATAAGGTGCCACAGCGTACCGCGATATTGACGGAATTTCAATTGAATGCCCTCTTTGGGGACACAATATGAAATACATATTCATCATGATCTGCATAGAATGCTTACACTATGTCCATGAATTAAAATCTAAATAGTTACTAAAATATATTTTTGTTCAATTTCACGCATTTCATTNGATCATGTCAAGAAATTTCACTGAAATAATAGATTTATACCTTTCTTAATCCACAGCAGAAGCAGGGACAGAAAATGAAGGTCATGCCAACAAAGAGAATGGACATAAAACAGACATTCCAATTGCTGTCTCAGGTGTTTTCAAATTTCACTGAATTGCCCCTGCATTGTACAATAATTATATTTCAATTCATTCTGATTTTCTTTAATCCATAGAAACAGCAACTAAAGAAACAAATGGAGATAAAACAGACAGCCCAGTTGTAGTTTCAGGTTCTTCCACAAAATGACCACATTTTAACATTTTTTTCAGATTTAATGAAATATTGCAAATGTTTTTACTTGTAAAAATGTAATCCAGTTACAATGATTTTTACCTGCAGGAATTAATCAAAACAAAGAGAGTAATGAAAGGAAGCAAGTCTATGAGAAAACCTCAACTACATCTAGTTCTTCAAGTAATACATTCAATAATTTKTYRTCTTTAGCCTTWTGAATTTATAAGTAAATGGYATTTCTTYATTTTACTTTKCAGATAASCAAYCYATATTTGAAGCACAATGTATMAAAAACAAACGTCTAGGAGAAGCACGCCAAACTGCCTTACTGTTTAATAAACTCAAAATTCTGCTGGACCCTSAAAAGCCTCTGGGAGGTGATTATAGAGGTCTTGCAGACAAATTTGGATACACCTACGATGAAATATGTTTCTTTGGAAGCCAACCTTCACCAACAGTTGCCTTATTGCAAGAACAGATGCATAAATGTACCTTCCAAACRCTACGTAAATATTTGAATGATATGGRAAGASAKGATGCAGTTRATAAAATTGATGAATACATCAAGCAACAAGGTTGCAATTGTCACAAATGTTGCAGTATTCGCTAAAAAGGTGCAATCCAATATTGATTTTGTAGAGTTTCAACTGAATAAGATCAGATTTTTTCCATCTAATTGTTTGACAATGATGCTAATATTTCAATGTTGTCTCCTAGAATAACTTGATTTTAAATCAAACTCTAAAATGTGTTGTGCAACTAAGGTTAACATTTAAGAGCAAAAGTTATACAATCATGTATACATAAATCTGTTTATTGCTTTTTTTCTCTAATTTTTATATAAATCATAATTATTATACAACTTTGAGAAAATGAACAATCATAATTATAAACAATAAAATTTGTGCTGTGATATTCTTATATTCTTTTCTTTTAAATAAAATATCATATAACTGGAACCATAAACAACTGTTTCATTATTATTGTTTAATCCTACAGCCAATCCCCAGGATTTGTGCTACATTTTCAATACAAAATTCCAGGTTTTTCAAATACTTTTAAGTACAAATGCAATTTTCAAGGAGTATTTTGAAGATATTTTTTGGTGTTTGCAGACGTTTCAAGAAGCAATTTAAATCCAAAAACTAACAAGCAACATGTCAATTTTATCAGATTCAAGGAGTTTTCAAGGAGTTTCAGCAATGTTCCCCATTTTCAAGGGCCTTCAAGCACCCTTGAAAATGAGTTTTCAATTCCAGGACTTTTCAAGGAGTAGCACGAGACCTGAATCCATTAACATTCATCAGTGGTAAAGACATGAAGAAAACAACAAAGTTATTTTCATAAAAATGTTTTAAGTCCCTGAGAAAATATTTCAGAGTTTAAATTACCGATAAATAGCAAATAAGTTATAAACACTGCAACAATGTTTTACAACTTAGTGTTTAAATATTCTTGCAAGAAAGTAAGGATATAGTATATCGAAATGACTTTGCTGTTGTCTTTACAAGTGAATAACATTAATGGTAATGACTGTATATCAAATTAACGTTTCGCATTAATAGTTACAATTTCCAGTTCAGTCAGAACCAGAGCAAAGAGAAGCAAAGAGAATTTTGAATCCAAAAAACTCCCATTAAAATACTGAAAACATTGCATAAACCAGAAACTCACAAGAAAAGGTGTAGCCTCTAGAGCAAACGCAGGGAAACCATGAAATAAAATCAAACTAAATACTAACAAATAGCAGCTATTTAGAAACGATTTGTCAGTATCAATAAACCAGAACACAATGAAGATGAATCCACATGGGACCACTTTTCATTCATCTATTGTGTTCTGGTTCATTGATACTGACAAACTGTCTCTAATTAAATAGCCGCTATTTGTTAGTATTTAGTTTGATTTTATATTTCATGGTTTTCTTGCGTTTGCTCTATACTAAACAAGGTTTGTTCTGTTTTGAAGGTCTCAAATTCCATGACTTTTACATGGTTTTCAATGACCAAAATACAGAAATACAGAATGTGACATTCAAAAGCTTGCTGTACAAAATATATATATTAAAAATAGAACTATTAACAAAAACAACAAAAAGGTCAGATCTCAATAATTGAGATTGTTTTAACCTGCATGTCAAAGTGTGATGGAAGCCGATAAG